GTGATGTTTTCGATGTACTCTCTCCTCCCTCGCCTCTCCCCTCCTCTCTCGCTGCTAGTCTTCTCCTCCCATGCCCCCCCCCCCCCTCCTCTCCCGTTCCCCGCCTCTTTCAGATTGCGATGGCTGTGCGATTAAAGCGTTGACCTGCTGTTTAAGCCGCCATTACCGTCACGCCTAGCTTGGTTCCGCGCTGCGTTCGAATAGCAGCCGCACGGATACATATTTCGCTCTTTGCCTCTCCCTTTTTTTTTTCACTCCACAGCGGACTTGACGTGAACCGGTGCGTCTTAAAAACGTGAATCACGCGACGCGTTCATTTCGAACGCCTCCAGCGTCGCGGCGCGCTGAGACAACTGGGGCGGGGGAGTGTGTCCGACCGAGCCGACCCGCCTCGTGAATATTGAAACACTACACCTTTTATTCAATTTCCTGCCGGACTGACGAGTGATTTTCTGTGTGTTGCAGGCCGGCCGACGATGGCGCTGGGGCCGCTGCTCCTGCTGCTCCTGCCCCTGCTGGGCCCGGGCCCCGGCGGGGGGCCCTGGGGGGCGGCGGGCCCCCCGGGGGCGGCGGCGGCGGGGGCCGCGGGGGCGTGCCGGCGCTCCGAGTTCCTCTGCGACACGGGCCAGTGCGTCGCACTGGACAAGGTCTGCGACGGCAGGGACGACTGCGAGGACAAGAGCGACGAGCGGCCCTTCTGCACACGTGAGTACCCCAGCATAAGAATTAAAATGAACCGCATGTAACTAGTGGTGTGGTGATTATTTTTCTCGCGAGAGATAATCTTAATCATGCATGAAGTTGTTAACAAAAAAATCCTAACCTCATTCAATACCGGGTGTTGCATAAAAGACACAGGTGCGGGCGGGTTTGCCTACCCAAGGGGCTATGGCGCCTTACGGGCAGAGCGGGTAGGCAAGCCCGTCCGCACCTGTGTCTTTTATGCAACACCCGGTACATTTACGATGCTATTCTCGGACATTTCGATGTTGGATGATGGCAGTTCTGATGAAGGTGGCAATATCTTTTAGTAGTAGAGTATTGTACACAATTTTGAGAGGCTTTTCCAACCCGGTGGTTGATCCCGATGGTGGTTTATCTGTGACTGCACGGGATTGCTGTCGCCCCCGCCTGTATTTCCCACTCTGCCCACTCGCGCTATGACGGCTACCACCCCCGGCTATTTTTATTTTACATCAGTTTCATCAGGTTGCCAGAAATAATGCAAATTCCGTTCGTTCGCACATACTCTCTAACATTGCCCTTCAATTTTCTATTCTGTGTTTCGTTGTTGTTTTGGCATAGCAGGCCGCCCCATTTACGCTACGTCAATCCACTGAGATCTGCGCCAAAACATTTAACTTACATAAAACCCGCAGGAAGATGAGCACCACCGATAAAGGTTGTGATTGCAGTATGACTGTCGGGGATAGGGGCAGCGAAGGGTGCGATTGGGAGCGACAACAGAGCATCGTTCGTTTGAATCAAGTCCGAAATAAAAATAATTTATATTCGGCCTGTCTCGTATTTTATTTTTGACGCTGTAGAAAATGGAGGGCGGCGGTCTGCTAATCACCGGGGCCGGCTCGCCGTACTGATGGCGCTGTCATGCCCTGTCATCCGGATGGGGCCGGGCGGCGTGGGGCGGGCACTGGGGCTCGGGATTCGGGGGCCCGCGGCGTCTCCGGAGGCGCTGCAAATCGACCGCGTCACGCGCCGGCGGCCCCGTGAGGCGCCCATGACTCGAATAATATTAATAATGATGATGATAATAATAATGACGGTGATGAAACTGATGATGATCACCCGGGGGAAAGGATTCGAAGGGGGAAAAGGGTGGTGAACGGAGTTAGGGAGGGAGACGGGGGTATAAACGACACGCTTGCGTTCATTTCATGTTGTTTACTCCCCTTTGCTCCAGTGCAACGGCAGTACAAGCCTGTACTCTCTCTCTCTCCCTCTCTCTCCCTCTCTCTCTCCCTCTCTTCCTCTCTCTCTACCTCTCTCTCTACCTCTCTCTCTCCCTCTCTCTCTCCCTCTCTCTCTCCCTCTCTCTCTACCTCTTTGTCTCTCGCTCTTCCTATTTCTCTCTCTCTCTCTCCCCTCCTTCTCTGCCCCCGCTCTCTCTCTCACTCTTTCTCTCTGTTTCTCTCTCTCTCTATCTCTCTCTCTCTATCTCACTCTGTTTCTCTCTCCTTCCGACAGCCCCCCACCCCACCCCTACAACTGTTGTTGTGTAGTCGAACGGCCGTCCGCGCACAGAGACGTGAACAACACAACACGCGGGAGGCGGCAGAGCCTTTTTGCCCTGGCCGTGTGACGTGGCGGTGCGAGCAGCACGACGGTCCCGGGGGAGGACGGCTCGTCCAAGGGCGAGCGAGAGAGGGGATGCAGGAGGGGCTGGGGGGCTCGGGTGCGAGTGCGAGCGAGACGGGTGATGCCGCAAGTTTTGGTTGGGATTGGGAGCTCGGAGGGGGCAGGAGGGGATG